GGGGGAGCCTCGGTGCTCCATGTCGGTCCCCTCCTGCGGGAAATATGATCAGCGCCCCTGACGTGGTGGCCTTCACTAGGGAGGAGGAGCTGGACGATGAGCTGTACCGCGAGCCGCCGCTGCCCGAGGAGTACTCGGTGCCACTCTTCCCCTTCGCCAGCCACGGGGCCAACCCCTGGGCCAAGGTCGCCAGCTCCAAGTTCACCCGCGACTTCATCCTCATCTCCGAGTTCTCGGAGCAAGTCGGGCCCCAGCCCCTGCTGACCATCCCTGATGACGCTAAAGTGTCGGGCACTTTCGATCTCAATTATTTTTCCCTTCGGATCATGTCGGTGGATTACCAGGCTTCCTTCGTGGGGCACCCTCCTGGCTCTGCCTACCCAAAGCTGAACTTTGTGGAGGATTCCAAAGTGGTGCTGGGGGACTCGAAGGAAGGGGCCTTTGCATACGTCCACCACTTGACTCTGTACGACCTCGAAGCCAGGGGTTTTGTGAGGCCCTTTTGCATGGCCTATATTTCTGCTGACGAGCACAAAATCATGCAGCAGTTTCAGGAACTCTCTGCAGAGTTCTCCAAAGCCTCTGAATGCCTAAAGACGGGGAACAGAAAAGCTTTTGCTAATGAACTGGAAAAGAAACTGAAAGATCTCGACTACACCAGGACTGTCCTGCACAATGAAACTGAGATACAGAAGAAAGCCAACGACAAAGGGTATTACACAACCCAAGCCATCGAGAAGGCCAATGAGCTGGCCAGCGTGGAAAAATCTATCATCGAGCACCAAGATCTGCTGAAACAAATCAGGTCGTATCCCTACAGGAAGCTGAAGGAGTCTGACTTCCATCCCTACGAGCCCGACTGTGCGCTGGATCAGGCCAACACGGGCTGCGGTCAGGACCTGACTACCTCCGACCTCGCTGAGCCTGGCGAACCGCACCTTTACGCCCATGTGCTGTCCTATACCCCCAAGCTCATCAAAGCCAAGTCTGCCAAATGCTTTGACAAGAAGCTGAAGACGCTGGAGGAGCTCTGCGATATTTATTTTTTCACCCAAACCCTTGACCAGTTGCATCATATCGAGAGGACTTTCAGAGGTGACGTGTGTTACCTCCTGACAGACCAGATCAGCAGGGCGCTCCTAAAGCAACAAAGCGTAACTAACTTCCTCTTCGAGGATGTATCTTTTCTGGATGAAAAACCACCTGAAAAACAGTACAGAGGCTGCCAGGGGCTCAGTCAAGATGCCATTGAAAGAAAGTGTTTGGAAGAGTCCCCTGCTCCTAAAGTGGTCATCAGCCTGGGATCGTACAAGTCCAGCGTGGAGAGCGTGCCCATCAAGATGGAGCCGGAAATCGAGGACTCCCAGGAGCCCAAAATGTCCGAATCCGTGACGTTTGAACACCAGGAGAACCTGGACTATCTCGATGCAGATATTAAAGGCAGCATCAGTAGCGGTGAGAGCATCGAGGTTCTTGGAACAGAAAAATCTGCGTCTGGCTTGACAAAATCAGAGAGCCAGGCCAGCCTCCCCGTCAGCCCCAGTCCCCAGGCGGGCAGGAGTAAGGTGGGCAGCCGGCGGACCGTCAGCGAGGACAGCATCGAGGTTCTCAGCACGTGTCCCTCTGAGTCGCTCATCCCAGAAGATTTCAAAGCGAGCTACCCAAGTGCCATTAACGAGGAACCTTACGTGGATGATGAAGAGGGCGGCCTTCGCTTCACCCCTAAGCTAACCCCAGACAACGCTGACAAGCAGGAAGACATTTTCAAACAGGAAAACTTGGTGCAGGTTGATTCTGCCTGTTGTATCGGAAAGGAGAGTCCCAGCTTCCTCGATCCTCTGCCTGATGTGGGACAGAAGCCCTGCGACGAGGACGGGGTGATCAGGATCCCCCCGCAGCCGTACCGGGGCTGCGCGGGAGTTTTGGGGGCTTCCCCTCCCACGACGGCATCTCGGGGGGGCTCCTTCCCTACGAGCTGGACTCGCGCTACCTGACGGGCAGCAGAGAGGTCAGTAAGAGCAGCCTGGACGAGTGCTCGGACTCCACGAGCTATATCAGCAGCGCTGCCTCCACCTGCTCCGACAGGACCCCTTCTCCGGCTCACCCCGCCTGTCCGGCGAGTGAAAGGCACAAAAAAAAGGCCGGGCAGAACGCGCTGCGGTTCATCAGGCAGTACCCCTTCGCTCACCCCGCCATCTACTCCCTGCTCAGCGGGAGGACCCTCATCGTGCTGGGGGAAGAGGAAGCGATCGTCAAGAAGCTCGTGACGGCGCTCTCCATTTTCGTGCCGAACTGTGGCATTTACACCAAGCCAGTGAAGCACTGGGTCACTTCCCCTCTGCACCTCGTGGATTTCCAGAAGTGGAAGCTGATCGGGCTGCAGAGGTAAATCGAGGGTCTGCTTGCTTATCGCTGTCGAGGTGTACGATAAAAACTTCTTCTCCTAAGTGAGAATTTCAGAGGGGATTGAGCGTGCAGGGGAGGTCTCTAATTACCTACGCAGCTGCCATGAATTTCTGCTTAGGGGATATATTTTAGAGGGGGGTAGATCTGTCCGTCTCTTTATATCCAGCCTCACCTGAGAGTTAATATTGAAAACATCTGCTGGGTGCTTGCTGCCTGGCTCATATTTGACCAGGAGGTTTCCTTCTGGTTTAGGGCTTAGCCTGGAGAAACAGGGAACAGTCACACGAGTCCTGCTGCTTTCCCGGATGATCTGATAAGCTCCCGGAGTCCCCTTCTGTGCTCGACTTTCCCCCATCTCCTGTCAAAACCCTCCCAACATTTCTAGCTAGAATTTTGTTTTTTAAATGGATGTGGGGAGGGTTTTTCCTTGGGGACCTTGATGAAGGGACGATGTGCTGTCGATGAGATCGCTCGGTCAGAAATGGGAGTGACGGCAGCTTGGGCTGCGCTGGCGAGGGCGCGCTGGCCGGGTGGTGTGGGGAAGGGCGGAGGCGCGGAGCCTGCGGAGCTGCTGGGCTCTCATCGAGGGCGTGCAGATGGACAGAGACTTGTTTATACCGAACCTTAGCACGGAAAAAAAGGTCCCAGTCCCCCGCCTCAATCCTGAACTGTGGCTTCTGAGTTTGTCTTAGCAAATAGTGATTGCTCAGCTCTCAAGATTTTGGCCCTGCCTTTGTTCCTGTCGCGAAAAGGATTTTCTTTGTGTGTTACCAGGATGTGTTCCGGCGCTTAGGGTGCAGGTATGACAGGGAATGGCCACTGCTGTCACCAGCATGGAAAAACATGACTCAGAGTGGCATTGCTCAGAGCTGGGCTGGAGCAGCTCCTCAAAGAGTGTTTCTGAGCGGCATGGAAATCAAAATCCAGAAATGTGCTTTCTGGGCTGCTGTGTACTGCGTTGCTGGGGGTTGTGGATGGTGAGATTGTCGTAAGGTGGGAGCTTACCCTCGTTTCTGTGCGCGTGAGGTGGGGTGACAGCCCTGCCACCAGCTGCTCCCAAACTGCTCTGGCTGTCGGAGGTTTTTTAAAGCCCTGAGTGTTTCCTCGTTGCTCAATGTTTGTGGTTAGATGCAATTTTTATAAACAAAAGTCTCTTCTTTTTTAAGAAGTGCTTGGAACATGTGTCAGTCCTGTCAACTCTCCTCCGTGGAATGTTAATTGACTCTTGAGTTTAATGTGGGCACTCTCAGCAAACCATTTGTACGAGGGCTTTGGGAAGGAACTTAGAGGCTGAATTAATTATTCTGGTTAAGGTGCTGTGTCTCATAAGTCCGGACGCTGCCTGGGCACGGGGACAGCCCTTGCACCAGCAGCTGGGGCTTCGAGCCTGGGGGCTGCATCTCCCCCGAGAGACTCCAACCACGCAGAATTGAGGAGCAGAAGGTAGAGTCTGCGTAGGCTTGTAATTTGCATTTCAACAACATGAATTCAGGCGTGTTGGCTAATGGGATGTTGTGAACGTGCTGTGGGTTTGCACCTGAGCAGAAAATCCCCAGGGAATATCCTGGTTTAAGGATGGTTCACTTTTTTAAAGGAAGGGCAGAAGGTTTTGCTTCGCTTGGGGCTTTGACCACCTCGGAGCTGCTCCCTCCCAAAACAGCGACATGGGGGAAAAGTGGACCTCTTGTCAGGGCTGGGGGGATCTGGTTTGGATTTCTGATCCTTGTTCTTGCATCCAGAAGCTTCCAGCTGCTGCAAGATTTTCTTCCGTTCACCAGAGATGTCCCGTCACTCTTTCTGTGTGTTGCTGAGGGAGGAAGCTGCCCTGGAGCACGCTAGTTTAGGAAGTAGCACACGCACGGTGTGGATCAGTGCACATGGAGCTCCAGGGATCGAGGTTCCTTTGGGATCTGGCAGGCTGGAGGGACTCTTTGTCTGTTCTCTTCCATGCCAGGCTTTATTCGTCCATAGAGGCTTTTGTACCAATGCGTGAGCTGGAGGGAAATAGGTGCGATCCGGGGGCACGGACGCAGTCTGCTGCTTAATGGTCGGGTCCCCTCCAGCCGTGACCTCTCTCCTTGCTGTTTCAGGACGGTGTCGCCTGCCGGAGTGAACGTGCTGCACGCCCTGAGCCGGTACAGCCGGTACGTCAGCATTCTGGACGCCGACAGCAAGACTCTCCGCTGCCCGCTGTACAAAGGCACGCTGGTGTCCCGGCTGGCAGACCACCGCACGCAGATCAAACGAGGGAGCACCTACTATATGCACGTCCAAAGTATCCTCACCCAGCTGTGTTCGAAAGCCTTCCTCTTCACCTTCTGCCATCATTTGCACCTTCCTATCAGTGAAAGGGAACCGGAGGAATCCGTCATGACTCGCAGGATGAACTTTCTGAAGCTCCAACTGGGCCTTGCCAATGAAGATATCAAAATCGTGCAGTATTTAGCGGAGCTGCTGAAGCTGCAGTACATTCAGGAACCTGGCCAGGGGGTGAGCCCTCTGCTCAGATTTGACTATGTTCCCAGCTTTTTGTACAAAATCTAGCCTGCCGCGGGCTGTCTGCCTGTGTGCTCAGAGTCTGACACAGATCATCCGCGCTTGACATCGATGCTGCCCACAGTCGCTCTCACACATCGGGAAGGCGCGAAGAAGCCGATGCATTTGCAAGTGTCTCTGCTCCACAGAAACCGGTCTTTGAGGGACTGGATTTCTGTGTGGTTCCCTGATTCCATCGCATAAACCACTGGGCGCTCACTCCTTAAATCTCAGAAGGGGCATTATTAACTTTCCAAGCGGATCGTGGCAGCATCCCTGGGGATTATGGCGTGGAGAGAGAGGTGGGCTGGCTCGGGGATCAGTGCTGACTAGTGTGCAGCCCCCAAAATATTGCAGCGCTCCGCACGCTTCTGCCAGAGCCCTAAGTGCTGTCGGTCCCTTCCGTGGAGCCAGAGGGGAGATGTAAAGGCCACGGGAAGTTTTTTAATCCACTGGTGTCTCACAGGAGTGTGGCTTGGATGCTCCCTGGCAGGGTGGCAGCTCGCAGTTACCCGTCCGCGCGCAGCGGCAGCAGATGGCGTGTCCCTTCCTGCGTTTTGCTGAGTTTGTTCGAGGATAGGTGGTTCCTGGGTGGGTGGGAGCGCAGTGGGGGCACACGTGCTTCTCTCCAGAAGCCGTTTACCAGTTTCTCTCAGCTTTGCTAAGATCTGGAATGGGGAAGGGCTCCTTAATGCTGGTGAGCAGCGAGGTGCCTGCTGCTGTGAATGTAGAGCACTGTGCCTTCATCATTCCTCACCTCCTGCTTGCTGCGAGAAGGGGGCGAGGGAGACCGGGAATCCTCAAAGCACATGAGGTCGAGGGTGGGCTTTTAAGGAGAGAGGGGAACTGAACAGAGGAGGGGGACACCCTCATTTTTAGGTGCTTTTTGTGATGGGGAAATGAACAGTGCAATTCAGTGGAAGCTCCGCTGTCAGACAGCTGGCTGCTCGAGCAGGCTGCCCGTCTCAGGAGAGATCGGGGATGAATGTACTGGATTCCACGTCATATCCATTATTGTTTCTTTTTTTTTTTTTTTTTTTTTTTTTTTGTTGGGGAGTTGACTTTTTTGCTTTGAAGTAAAGCAGGGTCAGCATCGCTGCATGCTGCTTCTGGCTGAGCCTTTGTCGTGTCTCCACTACCTCTCCCGCGGCACTCCTGGGGACTCTGGCCGGGGCAGAACTGCTGCTCTCTGAGCCTGGGTGCCGAGGACTTTCCTTTCAAAGCTTCTGTGCCATAAACGTGCCGCCGGCATGGTGACACTCCCAGATTGTTCCTGTCAGTGCTGAAAAGTTTGTGCCCAGGCACAGCGCTTCCCGCTGGAGTCTCGTAGGAGATGCCGCTCCTTGGCCACTGGTCCCGGGCTGTGGTCTGCTCTGTCCGGTGACGTGTGACGGTAGCAGCCCCCATGGTGCTTCTAAGCAAGAAAAGCCTCGCTAGGAAAGACAGCCTCGGTTTTATTTCTTGTTGTCGCTCTTCTGATGATGGGGTGAGAACAGCTGAGATGGTATAAGATGAGCTGACGTGTTGTTTGGTTTTGTTTTTCTTTTTTAACCCTCTGTTTATTGTGGTGGTGTGTGGCAGAGCTGGAGGTGAGCAGGATGTTCCCCCCACGCCCAGGGAAGTTTCGGTGAACAGTCTGGGGTTCCTCGGCGTGGCTCAGACCCCACGGAAACTCGCTGTGAGGACAGCACCGCTCTGAAACCTGTGTCCTGAGGGCAGGGAGCCTCCTGGGGAGGCTGTTACCTGGCACCAGCATCTGCACTTCGGTACTGTCACCTCTTTCTCTTGCCTCGAAAGGACGCTCTGGGGCAGCGCAGGAGGTACAAAGCGGCAGGGCAGGAGACTGTTTTAAATCTTGGTGTTCTTTCTGCTGGCTTGCAGTGAGGCCAGCTCAGCCAGGCAGGTTGAGCTCGTGGTGTTCTCCAGAGGGATTTCTGAGGTCAAGGTTGCTTGTGACGGTGTTTTCAGGTTGTGGTTGGGAAGCAGCATGGCATCACCATGGCTGGAGGTGAGCGGCGTGCCTGTGCGCGGGGCTGCGTGCCTTCAGAGCATGTCGAAAGGTGTTTTCCTGTCCCACCTGTGCCATCCTGTCGCATGGGAATGGGGTCTGCTGGCGAAAGATTTCGGTGCCTGTTGGAAATGCCCACTTTCTGAAGTGACCTGAGGTGTCCCCTTGTCGATTTGTGTGCACCCCAACGGCCTCCACGCTAAAGCTGAGGCGAGATTCCCCGGGGGAAGTGACGTGGGTAAATGAGTAAGACGGGTGGCAGCGGGCAGAGCAGAGCTCCCCGTGTCCCGCCTGCCCCACAGCTTGGGGAAAGCACTCACCACGGGAGCGTGTTTCCTGCTGGAAAACAACCCGATGCTGTTTGGGTTTGAGGAGGGA